GTAGCAGTCTCGCAATCCTTTCTATTGAAGAGTAGGTGATATAGGGATGAGAATGGACATGATTAGATTTCTACTTCTCTAGGTACGGTGCTTCTTGGTTGGTGGCTAAGCGCATTCTGCAAAGTTTTGAGTTTTAGTAATTGTGGTTGGAGCTTATGGAGTGGAGCTTGGTTTTGTTGTTACTTCCGAAGACTTATGTTTCATGAGTTCAACTAAATTCCGTAAGAAAATGACACAACATAAGAATATAGAGACCTATCTATTCAAATTGCAATTTCAATCCACACACACCATCTCATACAATTAACTATTGAAATAAAAAATTGCATTATTCTGTAATATAATTTTAAAACTGGATCAATCATTCACACATTTGTTAAAAAAGCCACATAGTTGTAATCAATGCAATAAAATTGTAATCATATTTAAACAAGAAATGACATGCATCAAGTGGAAATACACAATTACCTTGTACCATGAGGAACAAAATGCAATCTAATAAGAAAATCTGCCCACACTTCACCCACCTGCAATAGTTACGATAAGGGTAAAATACCAAAAACCCCCCCTGTGGTTTGCCAAATGTACAATTTACCTCCCTATGGTTTGGAAATCTACAATTTAACTCCCTGTCATTTCAACTAAAGTGAAAGTCTAATAGAAAACATCTACAATAACAATATTTCTGTCAGACTTTCACTTTAGGTGAAACGACAGGGAGTTAAATTGTAGGTTTCCAAACCATAGGGAGATAAAGTGTACATTTGGCAAACCACAGGGGGGTTTTTGGTATTTTACCCATTCTCAAATGCACGAAACATTCTTCCAAGGGTTTGACTTATAGAGGGGCAATTTTGACATTTTTCGTTCAAACGTTAGTTTAGATGTTTTCTGTCAGACTTTCACTTTAGTTGAAATGACAGGGAGTTAAATTGTAGGTTTCCAAACCATAGGGAGGTAAAGTGTACATTTGACAAAATACAGGGGGGTTTTTGGTATTTTACCCTTATGATAAAATCTAATTTAGAAAATTTATTGTGCAAACAAAGCTATACAGTTCACAAAGCAAGAAGCACGAGTGAAAATGAGCATACCTGTGCAAATCTGACTCTGATGGCGTTAAATGGAAGCACCTGAACCCATAATTTTATACATTAATGACTACCATTATTGCCACTTAGTTTAGAAACTAATCTACAAATGGTGAAGAGGATGGGGGGTCTTCAGTTACAGTTGTAATGTTGAGCTCAAATGATTCTTAATCTCCCACACTTTAATGAGCTCTTCAACATGCTGCAATTACTAGTTCAAATGAGTGTGTTTTGTTGGCAGAACTCAATTAATGTTTCTTGAGCTTTAACGATAAAGAGCACAAAACTTCCTACGGTTACAATTCACAAATAGTTTTCAAATGGTTCTTCTACTTTGGCCCGTTAATATCGTCTTAAACACATTTAATTCAATCGGATGGCTTTACCCCAATTCACCCCACTTCCTTTCTATCTTACCATTGTACTAAACAAGTAGTTAAAAGGGTGAAACTATCACTAATAACACATAGGCACCATTTGCGAATGTAATCATCATCTCACAAAGGGCACTTTAGTAAACTTATATTCCAATGAGCATGGCCTACTTGTATGATGCTTATACAATCCCTAAATTGCCCTTTAAAATGTCAGATGAAAATCACCCAATAGACAAACTACAACTCTTTTATATATATATATATATATATATTTAGGATATGTTGTTAGCCAACCCAAGCTTAGAGGTACAAGAGTTTCACGTGGAGTAGGACGCGAGACGAGAAATGTGTAACCACTTAAAATGCTTTCCACAAAGTGGGGTACTGCACAAAGGCTTTCTTCGACTCATAAGCAGATATTACTCACACATGCTTTCTCGTATCATTTATTTTGCATAGCCAATTGCTGACTTGGTTCTCCTTTGCAGGTAGATTAGGGGCAATTAGTCCTCCTCACGAGATACTTATCACAGAACTTGATAAGGCCAGCAATTTTCAGAAGCAAAGTATAGATTGGACATTCAAAAAGTAAGCACCGGCGCAATTGGATGACTGGTCGCTTGTTACATATTTCTATGTTACACTATATTACACAACTTCCCAAAGTATTCCTACCAGTAGAGATATTTTAAAACTTGGATTTTTATCTGTTATTATGGTGAAAAATGCATAGTAGTCGAATAGATAGTATAACAAAAATGTAATAAGAAAAGTTACAACAGAAAATTCTTTGCCGTGAGCAAGCGTCTCCCAGCAAGTCAAGCTTTGATGCCTCCAATCCACCGGTTACTTCTCTGTCGACAACAGAAGTTGACATCCAAGCTTCTTTGGAACCAGTCCTAGACATACTCATTACTTCAATTAGGACCAAGAATTGATGTTGGATCCATGTATTGCATTCCCCCACTGGATTCTTTTTCTTCTAGCCAAATCTCATGATTAACCATATCGATAGCTTAAGTTTTTTCTTTTGATTTTTCTGTCCGGCGCTTGCACCGCTTCTTTAGACTTCTTCAATTTTTAGTTTAAGATCAATTTGATCTAACTTTAAGATAGTATCTATTTTGAGCCATCTAGTTGACCAGTAGGATGAAGTTTTATAAATTCTTAGGGAACTTATAAATGATATGCTTTATTTCCCATCATGAAGCATATATGCCTATTCATAAATTGCTTTTTTATTGCATTTTGTTAGTCAAAAATGTCAAAAAAATTTTGTCAAAAATTTGCCAGCTATTGAAATGTTTCTCTGTCTTTTTTCTCCTCAATATATATGCTTCCCTTCTTAGAACTTTATGTACTTTAAATTGTACCCTCCCTATTTGGGCTTCATTTGATGACTTTAGGTTCATTATATCCAATCAGCCAAATAGTTTTTAATATTGTTTTCCTTTCCTGGAAGCTTTTCTCAACCATTTTTTAATTGTATAACCAGGCTACTCTTCTCTTATTAGCCTATTTATTATCCAATATTGCTAGTTGATTGTCATCCAGATTGTCAAGCTCTATTATTATTGTTTGATGATAGTCATCCATATCAAGGTAATGTAGCATAGCCACTCCAGGAAAATGGAGCAAAACCAATACTGTTTTCAGGTGATGTTTCATAAGCCTATACTACTTCGGATAGCAATTCATACCATTCTAAGGAATCAAAGATGCACACAAAAATCTTATGTAAAAAATTTGATTACGTGAGGAAATTTGTTTTTTATATAACACATTACACATCTCACGTACATCGAGATTAAAAAAATTTGTTTCAATTTGAAATTGAAAATCTCAACCCCATCTCCTAAATTCCTTGCCAGTTCCCAACAAATTCTCAATTGACGCCCAAGTTTGTACTCTTCAAGAATTTCAACCCTATATGCATTTTGCAATTTAACCCCCCAAATGTATACTATAGGGAAATGGAAGTTGTGGTATTCAGGAGCAATAGAGGAGCCACTGCAGAACAAATGGTGAAGGAAATTGCATCAATGTAGAGGTAGCAGTCACTAACAGTGAGGAAGGAAGGAAAGTAGGAATTAGAATGATTGCAACTGATGCCAACATGAAGGAAAGAGCTACATGGGCAATGAGAGAAATGAGTGCTGGAAATAGACAACTAGATTGTGCAGAAGCTGTGAAACTAGCAATGGTAAAAGCAAGAGAACAACATTGGTCCCATATAAAAGTGGGAGCCCTTGACCAACAGCTGCTAAGACACCTAAAGTCAAGAAGAGCAAAGGATACCAGACTTTTCTATCAAGTGGAGGATATTTATGGTCTAAGCTAGGCCAGTCATCAGGTCGGGTATGGGTCGAAATTAAATATTTTGGACCCGAACCCATTATAATATGTCCATTCCATATTCAATCTGTCTACTCGCTGGGTCTTGTGCTTATAATCCTGAAACCGAGTCCGATGGGTCCCGGATTGAGTCTACCCAGCAAAAATAAGACCCAACAAAATTTGTGTATGAACTGGCTTATGGAGCCATCAAGAGTGACACTGCATCTATTTGGCAACATCTCAAGCAGTTCTCTGTGGTATGAATTGTCTTACATGGAAGCCAAGAGATTGTAATATTAAGGATTGGTAATTTGGGAAAAGAAGTATTATTGTACTAAGAAGTATTTATATTTTATAATTATTAATCTACTTTAATGGGTCCGAGTCTGATATGGGTCAAAATCTTATATTCTGTATTCGATCTACTTTTTTGTTAGAGTAAATGGGTACGGCCCAGATCCGAATAATGTAATTATATCTCAATTCATACCCAGGAAAAAAAATAGCAGGTTCAGACCGAGTCCGAGTCCGACAGGCTTAGTTTTAAGTTCAATGTTTATGCAATGCTCAATTTATCTGCTCTCAAATGAAAGACTAAGTAGAATGAACAGATTAATCTCCATGTTGTAAGCGTTCTTTTGGATGAGAAACGTTTGTTTCCTTAGTGTCTCTGCACATTGTAGAGCTTAATTGGGCCATTGCCCAAACCTTGTAAAGTTATTACTGGTATAATCAGTATAATATCCTATCGTTTCGGGAAAGAAGAAGTCGGGGTATTCATTTATTAATCTCATTTGTCACTAACACGATTTCTTAATTTCACAAACCAATCACGTTGTTTGGATAATTAGAACCCGTTGTTTGGATAATTAGAACCCGATATATGACGTGATATTTAGATCCCGATAATTAGCTTTTGACCTATTTACCAAGACTTAGCAGGGAGTTTTTTTTTTGGAATATTCCGGTTCAACCAATTGACCGGCCACTCTGATCCAAGTTTTAAAACACTGGTTCAATCACAGCCCCTTCCTCCTGTGATAACTCATTAGTCCCACAAGTCCTTCCACCTTTGGCCCTTTGCTCTTGAATATTTACAATTTATCATGAAATTCATGCAATCTCCTTCTGCGGAGACCAGCATGGCTAAAAGCCAAGGACCAGAGGGAAGATGAGCGAGCAGGGGGCAACATGGTTTGCAATAATTTACCATCACCATTGAAGAATAACAGCATACATGAGGCATCAGAGAACATTTAACAAAGTGCAATCCCTGCGTTCCTATCAAGTCTTAACGAAATTTACAGAGCCATACGACGTCATTCAAGTTCCTGGACTTGGGATATGGCCAAGAAAGACCATTTCTTGTGAGCCCTATCCCAGTTACCAAGAGAAATGGACAGCATTACACCAAATACAGATTTATCATTTTTAACAAATTCGTTGTAGGATCCCATGACCAAAGTGCCCAAATGTAAATTGAAAGAAATGTTCAAAGTACCCAAAAAGCTAGAAAGACGAAAAAGGATAGTTTAATGAACTATAAGAACACCATAGGTTTGTCTTTGGTTCTTTCTGCTACCTATGGTCTTGACTAATGCTCCAATATTACCTCATCAAAGTTCCAGTCTCTCACCAGATCCCTTCTAACAGCATGGCTTCGGACCAAACGTGGGGGGCCTGTAACTACATTACTGGGTACAGTTGGTTGAGGAGTCACCTTGGATGATGTAACACTATGATTTGTTCTTGTGTGTGATAGAATCGTCTTTCTTGTAATGTAACTGGTAATAGCAGCACACCTTCCGTCATTGTCTGAACTTGAAACAGAATAACTTCTAAACGATTGTGATGGACTTTCTACACCATGGCATACAAGACAAGCCAGACTCATCTTAGTCTTTGAACACAAAATCCAGAAAAAGCTCCTGCCTTGCCACATCAAATAATGGTACCAGATGTTAACAAAATAAAAGAATCTAAAAAAGATACATGTTCGCTGTCTTACAGGTCAACCACTAATTAAAAGATTTACCTAAAATGAAAGAGCAAAAGAAAGATGTACTGTTGAGACCCCTACCATCCCTCTTTCCGGGGTCTCCTAGTATAGAGTATTAAGAAACACAGGAAGGTTGAAAACAACTCCAAACTCGAATATAACCAAACAGGGAAATTTGAGACAATGAGCATGCAAGTATCAGCAACATTTAACAGCTCTACAAAATATATGTATTCTTCATCTGCCCCTTTCCTAAATAACTGCAAAAAAGCAGACAAAATTCTTATGTCTCCTAAACTTCCCTGGGAAACTCTTCTCTTTCTTGAATATCCAAGGAACTTTTAACCAAGAAATACTAGAAACAAGTTTCTATAGATTTTGCATCTTGAATCATATTCTTGTGAAAGGAATGTTCAATGCAAGTTGTGGAGATATCGGTAAGGGTCTCAAAGATATTTCATTCCATTGTAGACCACAACTGTCCATGCTTATGCCATTTTAAGCTCCAGAGTCCAGCTTATTCAACTCACTAAAACAACAAGATATGTATAGGGCTAAATGACAAATTCCTTCAGACAAAGCAACAAAGATGGTAGCATAACAACAGAGCTCTGAGGAAGATTAGCTATGAAGGCTATAAATTGACACACTGTAAACACAGCCTAAAACATCAATCAACATGAATCAATATCTGCAATGAGAACAACAATGAAAACATGCCCACAAATGATCTTCCAAGGGGAACTAAATTTAACCATTGCAAGCATTCTAAACCAAATGTTGTTAATTAACTGTTCAGATTAAAGCAGGAAACTATCACCTCGAGCTCAATTACAGACTGCGACCTTTCTTTTCATCATTACTAGCTAAATTAACCATCACCAAATCCTCTGATGGTAAGTCTAAAGATGTTGAAATTCAAAAGTCCACTGGGCTTGAAAAATTCTAAATCTCATAGAGAAGAGCAAGTCAGTCTCACCTATGCTACCAGAATAAGACAAAAGTAAATTTGCCAGAGGCAGGTCCCTATTGCCTCAAACTAAAAGAAGATATGGCACATTACAAGTAACATCTCTATGGTATAAGTACGTTACCTCTTTCCCCATATGGTTCTGGAAGTAATTACCAGCTTGTGGTTTTGGGGAAAAACGGGCAAGATCAATAGCAGACTCATAATTAGTATTTTATTTTTGCAAAAACAGAGCATCAGCAGCCACTAAGAGGATTTTCAGGAGATAATTATAATCAAACATTACTTCAGCAAAATGTGTACATTCAAAGTACTACTACTAGTCAAAATCTATTACCATTATTGTCAATTCTACAAGGCTGAAAATTAGCATTCTTGTGTTCATTTTCATTAGTAGTTCTGCCATTGCAACATAACGCAACTTGCATTGACAGTTTCGTAAAAGTCTCTTCTTTTAGTCTACTGTTTAACATGATTTCAATTCCAAATTACAGGCGTATAGAAGGCAACTCTTAAAACCATATTTCTGTTACCATGAGATGCTTAAACCACAGCTTTTTATAGGTAATTAACCCAGAAAAACATAACCATATATTGAAGATTAAAGGGCACCATGGGCTTGTCATGGTAGCTTTGAAACCCATGTTTTTGTTTGTACTTGCTTTTAGCTTACACTAAGCTGAAAAAGCTAATTTTGCATAGCACATCAAGGTACCTTGGTAAACAACTTTCCTCTGTTCAATACAGTAATGATGGAAACATGCTTTGAAGCAGGCATAAACATACCCCATATAAGAACATGGATATACTGAGACAAGTTTAACGGATGTAACTCTGTAGCAAGAGGCCGCGGAAGCCGCTAGAGAAGAAGTTTATGGATTCATCAAGGAAATATAGACAAGGGCATACTACAGATACAAAACATAACACAAGAACAAGATAGATTCCTAAACAGTTAAATATGACATCTTCATAAATAAATGTATAACATATCCTCCCATGTTACATGGACATGGGTACAGCAGTCCCATGGAATGGGTACTATAGTGCAAAATGAAGAGTCGGACATGGTTAAGACAGGACAAAGTGAAGAGTATGAATAAAATAACTATTCTTAATGTGTATGCCTATAACCGACAGTCATCTGCATACATACTTACAAGAGCACATACGTTACTTCCTCTGTCCTAAATTCTTGTAGCCAATCTTGAACATGACTTATTAAGGCAGTCCGACTAGTTGATAGGAAAAGCCCCAAGTTTCCCAACTTTTACCCCAGAGCATAATTTCAACAACCTTTATGTTGAACCATCGCACAATATGTTGGACCCATGTCTAAATAATGCCTGAAAAATGATGTGACTTAGGAAATTAACAGTTCAAGGTTATGTGTGTTAATTTCTTCAAAAGTAGGTTATGCGTGTCCTTTGCTCAGAATTGGACTCACAGGAATGACAAGAAAAAGCAATTAGCTTTTTCATGACAGTGTAAAATGGAAGGATTCGTTTGCAATTTAGCTAGATGAAAAATATTCCAAAAACAAATTCACAAGGAAAGCATGGAACTGACAATGGCACTGAGGCCACATATAATAACCTCTACAGTTTCGGAAATAGCCAAGCTTTATGTTTCTTAATAATAAAATTTTACAAAGGGGCATCATATATTTGCATTTGACAAAATAATTCATTCAAACAAGTACCAGAAATTGAATTATCAATGCAAATAAATCCTTTAACTCTTTTACTTATACCACAAATCATTCCACATACAAACAAATTTGAAACACTACAGAGTCCATGTAATTTCAACATGGAATCTTCAAAATTTCTTCATTATATACACCTAGGCTGCCCTCCAGTTATTAACAACAAAAGGACATTATTTACCAGAAATAAATCTTATGATTAACAAATACACATTATCCATGAACAACCTATATGCTTTGTCTGGCAAGAACAACAAATAATCAAGAACGCAGTCAAGTCCAAAAAATATCTATTGTTCTTGAATTTCTTGACAGAACAAACTAGCATTGATCCATATATCCAACATTATCATCTTTCATCGTTCTTGCTAAAAATTTGCACTTAAAAAGACCAGTCCGTCGCAAGCCCCCCAATACGGCATTAGCCCTATAGTACCCATTCTTACTTTTTCTCTACTCTCTATAATATCCATTAAACTTTCCCTCATCAACATTGTTTCAAACATGGCTACTATTCGGCATATGCTAATTCAGCACTTAATATCTACAATCCGAATACTTTGTAACACCATAATTCTGCAATGAAATTCCGATATTTGTTTCCAAGCAGCACAAAAAGAAGTTCTTTCACAAAACCGATTTACCCCCTAGAAATACGATTATATGCCCAAATTTATATATAAAAAAAGTTGGGTCCTCCTAAATTGAGAAAAACGCATTTCTTCAACAAAGAACTTACAACCAGAAAAGAAGAAGACTGCCGATCGAATGATTCAAGGAGATCTAAGCAGAAAATTCAGGGAAAGAAAAACTGAACGAAATTAAATTACCTTTCTTCCTTCCGACGATGAAATCCTGACTTGTGGTGTGAAAATTCACTTCCAAGACAAAAACATAACAAAAAATGGAGGAAAAAATGGAAAATAAAAAACAAAAATAGGATTCAGCAATGTTTGACAAAGAGATAGAGAAAGGGAGAAAGGGAGAAAGGTTAAACCCGTAAGACTGTTAGAAGTACAGAGAAGATGAGATGGAGACTCAGAGATTGAGAAATTGCGTCAGACAACCCTCGTTGAAAGTTTGGGCTAGTTACGCTTTACGACGTCGTTTGATCCAGGAGAATTACGGCAATGGTGAGGAGAAGTGCCTATAACTTACTTTATTCTCTCTTTTTCTTTTCTTTTCTTTTTTTCATTTTGTGGTTAAGAAAGAACAAAACAAACTCTTTATTTGGTCAGTAAAATACACACAACCATTGTGGTTTGGCCCAAAATCACAAAACTCTCCTATAGTTGGGGGAAGAATGGATTTAGCGATATGGGACAGAAAGTGTAAATGAGAGGTTTCGAATTTGAAAATATCCAAATAACATCTTGTGTTTTGATTTAGTCGAAAAACAGTAGAAGTCATTATCTTGAAGAACCAGCAAGAACCAATTTGATCAAACAGTGAAAGGATTTATCTTGACCAAGTTATGGAACAATAACTAGCTTGTTAGATTTAAAGAGAATCTGTCTCTAGAAATCTAATGGATTGGTTATTGATTTGAAAGAACAAAATGATGTAACAAGTATCTAAGCTAAATACTTGATACAGTTCAAGAAGAAACTCACGTTCCATCAAAGAACTCCATAAAAGAAGACAACTTATTTTATTAATTCATCTCTCAAAAAGTTGTCTTACAATGAAATAAAAGAAGCCTATTTATAGTTAAAATCTAAACTACTAAGACTAATCCAATTTCGAAATAATACAAGCTTCCTAATTTTACCTTGGAAAGACTAATAAAACACAAAATCTAGCAAGAAAGGGAACCCTAAATTCGGCCCTACGTGAGGCTTAATTTGGCCAATTATATAACTACCAATTAACACTAAAATAATGGAAAATAACATAATGACTAAAAACTTAAACATCAACATAAAGTTCGCATTAAATATGACACCTCCACCACTTGAATGAGATGAACACGCTTCCAATCTTCATTCTTAAGTCTCTCAATATGTTTTGCGACAATTTCTTGACTTTGAACCATGCGAACCAGAAAACTTCATGCATGTTAGACGTGTCTGCGTCTAACTCAGTTTGATAAATCCCGTGCTCACATCAAAGAGTGAATGACACACATGTTTCGCATTCATCGATAAAATGCACAGAACCCTTCTGGTTTAGTACAAAGTTAGTAAGTCACTAAACCCTCATACAGTTAAAAAAAATCCAAATAACCTTTGATTTAATCGAAAAAAGGTAGAAGTCATCTTATTTGACGGAAAGTGAACAACACATGCTTCACATGCCAGTGCACATGGCTATGTGATGGGTAATTTAGTTATTCTACTATTATTTTTCTCTATTCTTTCCCTTTTTCTTTTTTTTTTTGTCTTTTAATTTTCTATTTATTTCAACCTTTCCCTTCATCTATCTTTTTGGTGCACCAAACCGAAAGGAAAAAATGGTAAAATGTGTCTAAAACTGGATTGGTTATTTGGTCACATGTCTTCCCAAATCAATATTAACCTTAAGATTTATGTTGGGGCAACCACTGGGAAATGTAGAACAATTATCCGGAACCAATTTAATAGAAAAAGGATTATTAAGCATGAATTTGAGGTAAAACTTAGCTGCTAAAAAAGGGAAAAATTTGATACTATTTGACAATAATTACATTGACCTAAAGATTGATGAGGATGACGATGACAATGAAGATGGCGGTAGTGTTAAGGGTTGGAGGAGAGGGATGAAGAAAAGAAAAGAAAAAAGGAAAGGAAAAAAAGAAGAAAAATGAGGGGCTGCTTGGTTAAAGGGTCTGAAAATCACGGAATGGAATAAAACCCCTTATTTGTTGCTTGGGTTAAACCTATTGGAATGAATTTTTTGGAATCAAATCTATAAAATTGGACTTCTCCCATTCCCGAACAAATTGGGAGGTTTTGGACAAAACGCTCAAGTTATTCCTTCACAATATTTTGTGGACAGACCTACCCATCAGAAGAAATTAATACCTCTACTCTCTCTCTATCACACGCCCCTCACTCTCTCTACTTGTTCTTTTTCATCAGATTTTCTATTATCCTGTACTTTCTTCATCTCTTATCCAAAATTTCTTAAAAAATGAGATCTAAAGTGGATCTGAATGGGTTAACAGTGGACAAACATCTTTAGTAGACAAATTGTGCAACAAGATCTCCAAGAGAAAGATCTCCAAGAAAAACTAGCCTCAACCCAAATCCAAAGGTTCCAAGGTTCATATTCTCTCAAATTTCTCCCATAATTACTATCAATAATAATAGTCTATAAGAAAGACCCAGAATCTCTGGATCCAAGAATAGTTAGGCCATTATGTTTTTTGCAAAGATAGAGAGGTGGATGAAATTTTATATGGGTGTTTTTGGATTTGTTTAAGATGGTGGAGATGAGATTGTTTGTGGGTGGGAATCGAGATTGGAGGTTGCTCAAAAGCTTCTTTTTTATTGCTTAAATTGTGAAAAAATTGCTCAGCACTGCAGTGACTAGTGAATTTACCCATGAATTCTTTATTGTGAACTTTTAATCTCATCACGTGCTACATATTGGTATATGTGTATATCCTGCAGTCATATATCTTGGATTGTTTCTTCCCATCTTTGGATTTATTCATAGCACGAAGTCTCGACAGTTTTGCATATAGTCCTCAAGAACATTAATTGGACAGTCACGTCATTTTCACCTAGTTAACATCTAGAGATCTAGTTGACTTGATCAATTTTGTTGACGGTTAGAATAAAATATTATAATACACATTCACAGCAATATGTCAACAAAAATGGGGATATGCATCACTGAATTTGAAGAAAATTTGATTGGATAAATCTTTTAACTCAACTCAACCGATATATTAAAGGCAAAAAGAAAAAGTAATTAGGAGTAGAAATAGTCCAATTTTCATCTGTATACGATTGTTTTAGTTGCCAACCTTTATTTGTAAAACTTCCAAATTATCTTATTAGTATTTACATCAACCAAAGGAAAGAAAACACTAGAAAAGGTATTGTCCATATGTGGGGCATTATATTTGACACATGTGCATTTGTATTTGATGTTTTATGGTGAATATTTATTTTTGGTTGTCATATTGTTATGTAGACAAAGGTGCCACGTTTACCTATTGGAAACAAAAGATGCAAAAAATCGAAATAGCCAAATTTTATCGAGAATGATAATGGTTGTTATTGCACTTTTTATGATGTGGTATTAGTTAATATTCATTCATCTCAAAAGTAGAAGGCACCAAATAAATCAAAAGAAGAAAAAATCATTGAGCGCATGCAACACTTATTTAATTTGACTAGGGAGAGTGATGTTTATTATATTAGCCAATTTCATATGGATAGACGAATATTTAAGATATTATGTGAAATGGTTAGAGACATTGGAGGCTGGAAAGTTATGTGAAATTGTTGCCATGTTTGTATATATTTTGGCTCACCACAAGAAAAGTAGAACAATTTTTGGTCTATTTTGGAGAAGTAGAGAAATAGTGAGTCATCAGTTCAATCTTTGCCTCCTAACAGTTTTGAAATTGCATCCAATATTGCTTAAGAAGCCCGAGCCTATTACCGAAAATTGCACAAATGAGAGATGGAAATGTTTTAAGGTAATTCATCAATTCAAATACAATCATTTAATAAAATGTATATTTTCATCCAAACTATCAAATATAGAGATTTTAACTCATTTTACATTTTTGACTTTTGTTAGAATAGAATTGTTTAGGTGCTTTAGATGGGACATTAATAGATGTGACACCATCCACTGAACAAAAATCAAGATACCGAACAAGAAAAGGAAATATTGCAACGAATGTATTAGGGGTTTGTTCTCCTAATATGCAATTTATCTATGTCTTGCTTGGTTGGGAAGGTTCGGCATATGTTGGTCGTGTGTTTCGAAATGCTATCTCTGGACCTAATGGTCTTAGAGTCCCACAAGGTAAACATGTATTGCAGTATCCAATACCATTCAATCAATTTATTTTTTTTTCTAAAATAAGGTAGTTAGTCTAGTATTAATTTGTGCATGATTGAATTTGTTGTTATTACTTGGTGGATGCTGGATATTGTAATGCTGATGGATTTCTTGCCCCTTATCGAGGGCAAAGATATCACCTTAATGAATCCAATGGTTATCAATCACAGAGACTAGAGGAATATTTCAACATGAAACATTCTAAAGTTAGAAATATCATAGAAAGATGTTTTGGATTGCTAAAAGGAAGATGGAAGATTCTAGCATCCTCTTCATTTTTTCCAATTCAAACACAAATGTAAACAATTATGGCATGTCGTCTACTACACAACTTGATAAGGATGTTCATGACTTTTGATCCACAAGAATTACTACAAAGTGAAAAAAATGAAAGTGAAGATAAAGATAGTAATGAAGAAGTAGAGTACATATCCACTATTTTGCCAAGTGACCAATGGACAAATTTTAGAAATAATTTAGCTCAAGAAATGTTTGACAATTAGAGGGCTGGACTTAGTAGGCTGTTATAAATGTATACTTAACTCTTAGAGTCATTAAATTTGTATTGACATTTGATGTATTCTTGTAGTGGATTTGTAAATTGCATTGACACTTGATGTATTTCTATTGTGAAATTTATTTTTCAACTTTTTTGTGTGATTAAATTAATTGTAGGTTCTTTCATGTGCATTGTTATATTACAAATTTCACTTATATAGTATTTTTTATAGAAATTAATTGATATATATGGACTGACTTTTAAATTATAGGATGGAGAATGATGAAACTGTACGTAGAAGAGGGAGAAACAAATGTTTTGGACTAATGAATAGGTGAAAGTGCTCATAGAAGTATTGCAAGAGTTGGCTTGTGATCTAATATGAAAATCAGAAGAGGGATTTTGAAATAATTATATGAGTGAATTGCTTAAAATTATCTTGCATAAGCAACCTACTTTTACCAAACAATTCAGCCCACATATTGAATCAAAAGTTAAGTGGCTAAAATATAGGTACCATGGAATTGTTGAAATATGCAAAAAAAGTGGTTGTAGTTGGAATGATGCTGAGAAAAAGATTCCTTGTGAAAACAGTGGTATGATGATTGG